CCTTCACTACCCAAAGGAGTCTCAGAGCGGCTTACAAACTCCTTTCCCTTCCCCTCCCCACAACAGAGACCCTGTGAGGCAGGTGGGGCTGAGAGAGCTCTTGACAGAAACGGCTCTTTTTCAAGAACAGCTGTGCCAGATCTAGGCTTGCCCAAGGTCATCCAGCCAGGTGCAAGTGGAGGAGTGGGGAATCAAACCCGGTTCTCCCAGATTAGAGTTCGCGCACCTAACCACTACACCAAACTGGCTTTAAAGTGTGTCTGCTACTCCATCATACAGTGCCTTTTGTGTTGACACGTGCGCTAGTTCTCAGCACCTTCCATTTCGACAGCCAAGATGGCCGCCCTCCCACCCGCTCCCAGACTCACCGTTCCCGCCTGCCCTTCGGCTTCTGCTTGCCCGCCAGGGCAAATAACTCTTCTTCGGACGGATGCCTGTAGCGGTACAACCTGCGGGTCAGAGGAGAAGGGAAAAGGTTGAAGAAGAGAAACGAGTCGCTCAGATCGGCACCAGAGCCAGTCAGAAATGGCAAGAGAAGGCTGGGCTGAAATTGGGATCCACCTTTGCTTGACCTTGGCCAGTGTGGTTGCTTCTGAAAGTGTTTTCCAAAAGAGGAGCTAGTTAGGGGGCCAAAGGAGCTCCCACCATTACATCAACAGGAAGCTGCCTTGTACCAAAGCAGACCTTTGGTCCATCAACGTCAGTGTTGTCTACTCAGACCGGCAGCCGCTCTCCAGGGTCTCAGGCTGAGGTCTTTCCCATCACCTACTGCCTGGTCCTTTTTAACTGGAGATGCCGGGGATTGAACCTGGGACCTTCAGCCTGCCAAGCAGAGGCTCTACTAGTGAGCCACAGCCTCCCCACAGGTTACCCAGGAGATCCCAGCAATGGAACCTGGGACTCGCCTTCCTTGGGCACAGTTATGCCACTGAGCCACAGCCCCTCACTAGAGGGTACAGCTGAATTCCCAGTGGAATTTACTTCTAAACACTTTCTACCTTTCCTTCTGGCCGTCTCCCTCCTTGCCTTTCTCACTTTGTAACCACCTTTCTGCACTATGGTACGGCGTGCCTTAAACAGGTTTGTCTGTTTGTACGGTTTCCCAATTCCGAAATCCTAGTACCACTGCATTGTTTCTCGGATGCCTTTCACTGGAAAGGGCTCTGGCTCAGTGGCAGGGCATCTGCTTGGCATGCAGAAGGTCCCGGGTTCAATCCCCAGTATCTCCAGTTAAAACAGGGGTGTCAAACATGTGGCCCGGGGGCCGGGCCAGGCCCCCGGAGGGCTCCCATCAGGCCCGCGGTGGAACCGGCCATCTCCTGCTTCCAGTTCTGCTGTTGCTGCTGCTGCATCATAGCTCGCTTCGCCAGACTCTCTGAATCGCTCGGCCATTCCATGTTTTCCCCTGGGTCCTAGACTCAGAACTCTGAGCGTGAGATTTCTGTGGTGAATGTCAATCAATCAAAAGTAGGTTTGCAGCACACAGAGCTAATGTCTTAAGCATGTTTTTATTTTAAGTAAAAGAACAATCTTTGTGTTTGTGTCCTTTATAAAGTTTATATCTCTGCTACCTGGCGTTACATTTTATGATACACACGGCCCAGCCCAACAAGGTCTCATTTATGTCAGATCCGGCCCTTGTAACAAATGAGTTCGACACCCCTGAGTTAAAAGGAGCAAGCAGGAGGTGATATGAATGACCTCTGCCTAGGACCCTGGAGAGCAGCTGCCAGTCTGAGTAGACAATACTGACCTTGATAGACCAAAGGTCTAATTCGGTATAAGGCAGTTTTATTTTATTTATTTATTTATTTATTTAGGTATTTTTACCCCGCCCTCCCCACAAGCGGGCTCAGGGTGGCTCAGGGCAGTTTTGTGTGTTCACTGTCTGATTAAAATGTTTATTATAATCTGTAATCCACCTCGAGTCTCTGCGAGAAAGACATAAGATCAAGTTTTATTCAGGCACAAGCTCTCCCTCCTCTGCAAGGACGGATCTGCACATCCCCCCCCCCATAGCTCGCAATCCAAAACAGTCTAGTGGCCCCAGAACAGTCCAGTGGCACCTTTAAGACCAAGTTTTATTCAGGTACAAGCTCTCCCTCCTCTGGGAGGACAGATCTGCACGTCCCCCCCTCCAATAGCTAGCAATCCAAAACAGTCCAGTGGCACCTGAGCGGTGGGTGTTGCCTTCTGACACACTTCCGGTGATGTCAGGGGGTGCGGCATATGCAAATGAGTTATGCTAATGAGTTATACTAATGAGCTCCTCCACCTCTTTTTCTACGAAATGACCTGATAATAACAATAGCAACAAAAATATTAATATTGTAGTAATAACAATAATAATAACGATAATAGTTAATTCCATCAGCAATCTTGTATGGGAGCTATAACAACATAGTATATGCGGATAGACTTTGCCCCAGCAATTCTGGATGTACTGAATCTGTTTCGCATATTTGTTCGCATTGTCAGCTTTATATGGTTTTACATGCTAGATATTGAAATCCCAGCCTAGCCAACATGACGAACCTTTCTGATGCCTTAGAAGTGCGCCGTCTTCTAAATGACTCTGATCCAGAAATATCAATCAACGTAGCCATGTTTTTACAATCAGTGGTAAAACGACGTAAGGTAAATTTCCAATAATTAAATGTTTTATGCTACATTATATTTTATAAGAGGAGCTGCGGTGGCTCAAGTGGTTAAGACGCTGAACTGCAGGCTGTGGAAGGTCGGTAGTCCAGCAGTTCGAGACCCGAGTGCCGCATGACGGAGTGAGCTCCCATCTCTAGTTCCAGCTCCTGCCAACCTAGCAGTTCGAAAGCAAGACATTGCAAGTAGATAAATAGGTACCGCTTCGGTGGGAAGGTAACAGCGTTCCATGCGCCTCGGTGTTTAGTCATGCCGGCCACATGACCACGGAAACGTCTTTGGACAGCGCTGGCTCTTCGGCTTTGAAACGGAGATGAGCACCGCAACCCTAGAGTCGGACTCGACTGGCTTTCGAGCAAGGGAAACCTTTACCTTTTACCTTATGTTTTATAAGTTTGGCTGTATATGGTTTTAAATGTATATTCCTTTGTATAGTAATCCTTTTAAAGTATTTTATGCCAATAGAGGTTAACTGAACGCTAATAGTAGCAGCAGCAGTAGTAGCTCTTTTTGTAGCAGGAACTCCTTTGCATATTAGGCGACACCCCCCTAATGTAGCCAATCCTCCGAGAGCTTACAGAGCTGTTCTTACAGAGGCTACTGTAAGCTCTTGGGAGGATTGGCTACGTTAGGGGTGTGTTGCCTAATATGCAAAAGAGTTCCTGCTACAAGAAGACCCCAGAAAAAGTACCCCAACAGGGGTGAACTCATGTGCAGGCCAGTGGTGGTAGTAGTAGGAGTAGTAATAATAATAATACCTTCCATTGCAAAGGATCCACCGTGCGAAGGAGAAGTGCGGCGCCATCTTTTGCATGATGCTGGCCATGAGCAAGGAGACCACCAACTGGACCCCCATCACCGCCTGAGGAGCAGAAAAAGAAGAAGCAGTCCCATCAACGGCCTGGGACAGGGTTCCCCAACGCGGTGCCCGCCAAATGTTTTAAGAAAACAAGTGGGACTGGGGAGGGCTTTTGCCCAGCATGGCTTCCGATTGGCTGTGCAGATTTCTCAAAACTGTTCTTTTGGCAGCAGCTGCCCCCAGAGCACGAGGCTCTTCACTGTGTGACGGAAGGTAAACCGCGGGAACCGTTTTGTGGCTGGCCCCGCCTCCTGCAGCGCCCATTTCATGGCTGCCCCCGCTATGCTATGTCACAATTCCAAAGGTGCCCACTGGCTTAGGAAGGTTGGGACGCCCTAGCCTGGGACCCAACCAAGAACCAAGGTGCCCCATCTTTTTTCATGCAAAACAAGCAGAAATGGCGCTCCCGGAGAAGTTTGCATTCGCCAGGTGCAGGATGCCACCTTTTCTAAACAAAGACCCTGCAGAAAATCTTTCAATGGTTATCAAAGGCCTTTTTAAAAAATCAGGTCCCTAAGCTGCGCTCGCCTATGGTAAGTATGATCCAGGCGAATAAACAGGGGATGCTTTTGCAAGTTGGAGGGGGGAAACTTAGAAGGCCAGCAGCAACTTACACATTACTAATATAGGTACAGGCAGATGCGTTACCCCCCTTTTTAATGTGAGCCAGTGTGAGCTAGCTCACCGTTTTTTGGCCTCCGGCTCATGAATTTTTGTCTCCGCTCAGGAAGGATGGCTCCAGAGCAAACTGATTTATGCAGTAGCCAATTGGCTCGCTCACAACTTTAATGCCAGGAGCTCACAAAGTAGAATTTTTGCTCACTAGACTCCACAGCTTAGAGGGAGCACTGGTGAAGACTAGTAACTTATGCTGACTTGTTTGCAGATCCGATTTTGATACAGGAATGTTTATTGGCAGGCTTTGACTGGGAGTTGCGGAAGACATTGTCATTCAACCCTGCATTCCAGCAAGTACCTTGGAGACACTGTCCCCCCCCAGCACCACGCTCTGTTCCCAACCGTGCATTCAGGCCAGACCAAAGCATGCAAATCACCTGTAGAACTCCCTGCCACAAGGCAGAATGTTTAGATGGCTTCAAAAATCATTAGCCACCTTTATGGAATAAAAGAGGTCTAACCAATGACTATTAGCCTTGGGCACAGCTAAATGGAACCTCCATGTTTAGAGGCAGTTTATCTCCAAATTAAGGATTAAGGATCATCTGCTTGTGGGCTTCCAGAAAGCATTTGGCCAGCTACTGTCAGAAGAGGATTTTGGGCTATATGGACCATCAGTCTGCTCCAGTTTGGCTCGTCTTATGTTCATATGACATAAGAACATAAGAAAAGCCAGTGTTGGATCAGGCCAATGGCCCTTCCAGTCCAACACTCTATCACACAGTGGCCAAAAATACCAGGTGCCATCAGGAGGTCCATCAGTGGGGCCAAGACACTAGAAGCCCTCCCCCCACTGTTGCCTCCCCCAAGCACCAAGAATACAGAGCATCACCTGCCCCAGACGTAAGAACATAAGAGAAGCCAGTGTTGGATCAGGCCAATGGCCCATCCAGTCCAACACTCTGTGTCACATAGTGGCCAAAAATGCCAGGTGCCCTTAGAAGGTCCAGCAGTGGGGCCAGGACACTACAAGCCCTCCTACTGTTCCCCCCCCCAAGCACCAAAAATACAGAGCATCCCTTGCCCCAGACTGAGAGTTCCTATCTATTCCTTGTGGCTAATAGCCACTGATGGACCTCTGCTCCAGATGTTTATCTAATTCCCTCTTGAAGCCGTCCATGCTTGTAGCTGCCACCACCTCCTGAGATGAGGTCACACCATTGATTTATACAGGGGCATGATGATACTGGCTGATTTGATTTCAATTCCTTCCCTAATAATCCCTATTCAACATATTCAACAGAATAAATCTGGGATTCTCCCATTTCAACAGAATCAGGAATTGGACACCGGAGTAACTTTCTTCCCTTTGGGAAACGGCTGAACAGTCCTCTTTCTTGGTGCTGGTGGAAACTGACATCAAGTTGCAACCGACTTATGGCAACCCTGTAGGGTTTTCAAGGCAAGAGATGGTTTGCTATTGCCTGCCTTTGCCTATCTGCGGTCTCCCATCCACGTACTAACCACAGCCGACCTTGCTTAGCTTCCAACTCATTACGAGCCAACAAAAAATAGTTACTCATTCCCATAAACACGACGTATCGATGGCATCCAAGAGGGGGGAAAAACATTTTCCTTCCAATTATTTACAAACACTTCCTGGTCTCCGGGAGGCAACCTTTCCTTGTCAGAGGTGACCAGGTTTATTTACGATCCTGGAAAGGTACACCCTTTTAAAACTTAAGAGGGTTAGGAAGGAAAGAAGAAGAAGAAGAAGAAGAGAAGAGATTGGATTTATACCCCGCCCTTCACTCGGAGTCTCAGAGCGGCTTACAAACTCCTTTCCCTTCCCCTCCCCACAACAGACACCCTGTGAGGTGGGTGGGGCTGAGAGAACTCTGTCACAAACTGCTCTTTCAGGAACAGCTGTGCCAGAGCTTGTGACTGACCCAAGGTCACATCAGCAGGTGCAAGTGGAGGAGTGGGGAATCAAACCCAGTTCTCCCAGATTAGAGTTAGCGCTCCTAACCACTACACCAAAGGAAGCTAAGGCAGAGGTGAGAAGGGGGAAAGAAAAGCCAGAAACTCCCCAACCCCAACCAAGGACACAGGGCAATCCCTTCTTCCCTGCCTGGAGCTGTCACTCAAATCTGGAGACCATCTATGGCTGTCCGAAAGCGGACACCAAGCGGGGTTATATTTTTAATTCCATCTGTGCCTTGCAGAGGACAAGGGGGCTGGCCCCTCTCCAGAAAGCAAGAGAGCGCTGTCCCACGCCTGCAGCCTAAGAAAGCAAAACTGGGGTTGGGGGGGAGAGATTCACAGGATAATTACGAACAACTATTGGAGGCTGGGGATTCCTACCGACTTTTTGTACACGTCCATATGCCCACTGCGCAGGATTCATGAGAAAACGCAAGATTTTGCCAGCGGTTCAATGCAGAATCTGCGTTTCCCAGATCTCTGAGGGCAGGTCGTGTTCATCCATTTGTCCTAGGTTTGCCATATGTAAGCCTTGGCCCCAGGCAAAGGATGGGATGGTAGGGTTGCCAGATCCAGGTCGGGAAACTCCTGGAGATTTGGGGGTGGAAGCTGGGGAGGACACCGACAGGGACCTCAGTGGGGCACCAAGGCCACAGAGCCCACCCTCCAAAGCATGCATTTTCTCCAGGGAAAGTGAAACCTGCAGTCTAGAGATGAGCTGTCATTCCGGGGGATCCCCAGGTCCCACCTGGAGGCTGGCATCCCTGATTTTTGTCCAGACTTGCAAGTTAGCCACCGTCTATGAAAGTAGCCAGCCGCATGCTTGTTCCTTCTTAAGCAGCCCAAGCCGGCCCTTCTCAACTTCCAGACGCTTCTCTTTTTTGGGGGGTGGGGAGACTTTAACGCAAGCTTTGAACTCACCATTTTTGCAGAGAAGAGGGAAGGAGAGTTGCGGCGATCAAACGATTTCAAAAGCGGATCAAAGGAGGGAGGCTGAACGTCGGAGAGCTCGTGGCCAAGAGGGGGCGTCGAAGCCTAGCGTACGCCTTAGCCAATCACAGGGAGAGACTACGAGAGACGGCCGACCCTTGAACCAATGGCACAGCACATGTTTGGAAATGGGCGGTGCTTGTCCCCGTTTTGGAAAAAACATTCAGTTTACCTGTTTCCGGTTTATAAAATGCAAATCCAGTCAGAGCGTTGCATCTTGGGGCTTGTAGTTTGCTGTAGCTAATGGCCCGTCGAGGGGGAGAAAGCGAAAGCGCTAAACTTAAAACCAAGGTTGCCAGTTTTCCTCTGCACGAGGTTCTTCTTCAGGCGCTTCCTGTGCCGTGTTTTAAAGCAGGGGGAGCCTTTTGCATATATTGCTATTAGCATTAATATTATTAATAATATGTCGCGTTAATTATATTTAATTATATCGATGATATTAATAATTATAACAATATTGTCATAAACACAACAGGACAGGAAAGGACTAATCAATGAAATTATGCGGGTAGAACCCATGAATGTGTGTTGCCAACCTCCAGGTGGGGTCTGGGGATACCCTAGAATTGTAACTGACCTCCAGGCCACAGAGATCAGCTCCTCTGGAGAAAATGGCTGCTTTGGAGGGAGGACTCTGGGGCCTTGTATTCCCCGCTGAGGTCCCTTTCCTCCCCAAATCTCCCCCTCTCCCCCAGGAGATCTCCAGCCGCAACCTGGAGACTGGCAACCCTATCCATGCATTTAATCATCTGGTTTATTTAAAATATTTACAGGGGTCATTTCGTAGAAAAAGAGGTGCAGGAGCTCATTCGCATAACTCATTTGCATATGCCACACCCCCTGACATCACCGGAAGTGTGTCAGAAGGCGACACCCACCGCTCAGGCTCCACTGGACTGTTTTGGATTGTTAGCTATGGGGGGGACGCGCAGATCTGCCCTCGCAGAGGAGGGAGAGCTTGTACCTGAATAAAACTTGGTCTTAAAGGTGCCACTGGACTGTTTTGGACCAGGGGGGCTCTGCAACTTACCTGGCTGCTTCTTGCTCCTGGTGGTCCGACTGAGGGCTGCTGGGAGC